AGCCTTCATACTTCAGAAGTGCCAATGCTGTGGATTTTCTGAAACTCTACACTACAGAAGTAACGTGGGTCTTTGTCTTGCTCCTTTGCCCTGTTTTTGCACTTGAACCTAAAATTGTTCAACTCACTTGTGATTTGACTGGTTCTGGCCTCTTTGGGGAAGGACAATTTTTTGTCACGGATTTTTTTTTGTGCAAGGTTTCTGGAGCTTGAGGTTCAGCTTCYTAAGCCTGTAGGTGGAAGCAGTGTGAAATAAAACAAACCTATTCTCTCCATCTCAACAAATTTGATGCTTCTTTGAAAGCAAAACTTGTGGTCAGACTTGCAGCAGTTGCTTAAAGAGGTCTTGGGGAACTCAGAGAGGAGAAAATTAAGCTACAGTTCATGTCTAAAACCTTAAAATTATGTGTTAAATCTTGCTATTGACAATTGATRCCTAGTGACACATGGGACTTTGTCCAGTCCTAATCTAAAACACTCTTTATCTCCCAAAATAAGGCAATACTAGTCTTGTGATGTGGGCAGGTGGTCTTTGTTTGCACAGCAAACCCAACCTTAAATGCAGGCTGAATTTTCCAGTCTTAGAGGTGAAGTCTTTCATCTCCTGTCGAGACACATGAGGCTGCTGAAGTGTGCACTTGTAGATCATTGCAGTCTGGTCTGATAGAGCAGTTCAAGATTACAGCATGGTGAATCTGACATGTGCTCTGCTTAGTTTCAAACAGGGATTAGAAAAATCATTAGGAGAGCTCTTAGGAGAGTAGTCCCATGGTAAATACACCTTCCCCRTCACTGAATGTAAGTAGCACTTGAACATAAACCCCGAGGACCCTCTCAATCAGACAGCAAGTTACAGAACTATTACTCTTTGATGGTTAGGCTGGTCCAACCATCACCTTTGCCATTTTTCTGGAGATATCTGAAGATGGTAAGTAAGCAGCTCAGACTTGCTCTGACTGAACACAAGGAACTCCAGCCTCTGCTACAAGAGCTCTGCCAGCATTTTGAATTGCCCCTTTGTTAGCTTCTAAATCAAGGTGTTTTCAGATGGGTCTGGCAGTGCTGTAGTTGCACTGTAAAGGCAAACACTTGAACTTCCCTGCAATCTTTTTTTCCTGAGTGTTTTTCTGCAGTTCCTGTTTWTGAAGATATGGGTTACAAAGACAGGGCATTAAGTAAAAATGCTGGGAACTATTAACTCCAGTACTGAATTTAGCCAAGCTACCTGTGTGTCATCTGTCCTGGGTCTGTCACAAGTTCCTRGACCACAGCCCTTTGACACGTGGTGCCTTGCCCTTTTTCTCCTCCTCCCTTGACATCAGCATATCTAGAGACTTCAGTAACAGCTCTGTCAGAGCTTTTGGGGCTTTGCTTTTTGGTAAATGAATTTTCAGCCACTATCACTGAGACACACTGGTGATGCACACRGTACAACTGTGTGCTGACATAAAGGACCTTTGTGGGCAGCCTACAACTGGCTACAGTCTATTTCAAGGCTTAAAATASCAATGTATATAAGCAGTGGATCATTTTCAGCTCTCTGCTCCTCTAGCAGTAGGAATTGAGTCATAGAAACAGGGTTTGCTTTGCTTAATCTGTGACCTGTTATCCTGCAATGCCAAAATTTTTCTCAATGAACACTCCAGCAGTGTAGCTGGAGGTAGATTGCTCAAGTGGCTACGGCTTAAATGAAAGAGCAGAGAGTACCATCTTCAGGACTTAATTGCCAGTTTGGTCACCTGGATTGCTTCCAAGTTTTTCTGGAAATACTTGTCTGGAACTTGCTGAAATCCTTCAGTCTTTTTTTTTTTTTTGTGAGACCAGAGAAGGCCTGTGCCTTGTGYTGCCTGTATAAGCCATTTGTTGTAAAGAGCATCTTGTTTCTGGCTCGAGTCATGCTCCATGTGTCTGTATTCCTTAGGGAGGTCTGTTCATTTGGGAAGGGACTCAAAGTGTCTCCTTCATGGCTTCTGGGTGAAAAGCAAACAGCCCTTCTTGGTGTGAGGACTTTATGATTTTTCTCCAAGCTTAGAATGCCTCAGAGCAGCRCCGGCCCCAGGGAGGGTGCCCTGTTTTTGTTCCCTTTTCTCACTGGGAGTGGGAGTAACACTGGCCTGGACTTTCTCAGCTGTTGAGGGAGCTTAGGCACGAGTGCCATCAATGACTCAAAGCAGTTGCCAGCTTTCCATGCTGTGTGGAGGGGTTTCTGGGCTTATCCTGAACTTTAGTACAATGTGGCACAAAGCCCCTTTGCATTGCRTTGGTTTCCATTGTAAGCAAAGTTCTTGCTCGACCACAGAGGAGATATGAAACTTTCTTCTAGGATCTCCCAACTCTGCTGGGTGGTTCCTGCCAACTGGAAAGTCTTTAAAATAAATAAAACCCATTGGTATTTGATATAACCAAGTCCTACTGCTTAGCCCGTATTTTCTCATTGTGTTACGTGACAGCTTGACTGTAATTCCCAGTGACAGATCTCTAGACATTCTTCTTGAGAAAGCATAACCTCTTTCTCTGAGAGTTCCAAGCCAAAAAGGTCTGTGAAGATCTTGAAAAGAGGAGACCTGTGCCCTTGTTTTTCTCATGCAGCTGTGTTAGAACAGGCAGAGTGACTTCCAGTGTTCTTGGTGAGCAGTTGACTATGAAAATATTTTCAATTTGGCAAAATTGTATTCTGTAACTGTCTCTAAATGCTGCCCTGAAGAAGCTTGTATACTGAGACACCCTCCCTGCTGCCATGTTCTGAGTCAGATTCTCTGGAGCTGAGAGCTGCAGGGGAGATGATTTGCAACTAGCAATGCAATTTTTCTATATCTGCTGATGTTTACCTTTAAAATTATATATAAATATATATAAAACTGTCTTCAACTTTTTCTTTAATTTTTGTTCTCGTGTGGTGTAAAATGGAAGTCATTGCAAAACAAAATGTAATTTTGTTATCTTTGATTCAGTGGGGTTTCTTTATTTAAAAATAAAGGACTTATTGAAGTCAGTGCTACATCTAGTGTCTGTGTGTGAAGTTCCATATGCTGGCAGAGGCTCTCAGTCTTCCCTGAGGCCCAGCTCGGGGAGCTGGCTGTGAGGGAAGATGACTTTGTCTTCTCCCCCTTTCTTGCCTGCAGCACATGAATGCAAGCAGTMGTGGTGCTGAAGCCTTTCCTAGTTGTTTTTTGTCTTCTGGCCAAGAAGAGATCTTTGATGCCACTCTAGTGGAGAAGGGGTGTAGCATCACCTTTCAAAAACACATGCCTGCCCTGAATCTGCTGAAAAAAAAAAATAGTTTTTTGCCAGTGGAATAGAACATCTCTTATTTTTCCCTGTGTGAGAGCGAGTGGATTTCCTGATCCTTCAGCTACTGGCAGAAGAAACAGAAACCAACATCTTGGGTGAGGACAAGTGTACAAAAACCCTGCCACAAGGACTCCTCACCTGACCCTAAGAGCTCACCAAGGTGTGGTTTATTATTGAAAGAACAAGTGACAGAGTTGTGGAGGGGAACTGGGACTGGTGCCCTGTGGGATGGTGGGGCCAGAGACCATCACTGTGCTCTRGGGGTGACAATGGGCTTCATGTATAATTGTGAATTAGCTGTTAGATCCACTTCAAAACTCCTTCGGGGCTTGGTCAGTCACTCAGCTCCCTGCTCTGCTGCTCTGTTCTGTCTCCCCATCAAAGCAAGCTGCCAGCTGACAATTTGTCACAGCTTTGGTGAGCAGCCATGGGCACTTCCCAAGAGCTGTGCCTGTCCCACTCCAAATCCCAGAGGCAGCAGCATGATACTCCTGTCCATGTGTATGKTTTTTTTTTCCCTTTTKCTGTTTCCCCAAGCTGCAGTTGCTCTGTCCAGCCAAGCTTTGCTGTTGTGTTTGCACTGGCCCGATGGTGGCAGGGTTGTCACACGTGGTTTCCTTGGGATGGCTCCAGGTGCAGCAAAGAGCCAAAGGAAGCGGAGAGCTGCCTTTTGCTCTGTCTCTGCATTCCTGCACAAGGCTGGCACAGCCTCGGGCTTTGGGACTCGCCCTGCATGGGCTCACCAAGCTGCAGAGGCTGGAGCAAACAGATCTAACCCCAGACAGGCCCCGTCCTCCCYGCAGCTTCGGAGCCCGTGTCCTGTTTGGTTTGAGCCCGAGCCAGTGCCCTGATGAATGTGGCTCTTGTCATCASCCTCCACCTCGGCCAGCTTTGGCTGGGGGGCTGATCTGGCTGCTSAAAGGGGCCTGTGTGCAGCTGGGAGGGAGCAGGACACACTGTGGGACAGGCTCAGGGTGAGGGGAGCTGGGCACACACCAAGAGCTTGCTCCTCTCTGAGCCCTGCTTCTGGCCAAGGGAGATGGGCTGGAAATGTGAGTCTGATGGGCTTCAGGAGGAGATGCTCGGTTCATGAACCAGAACTGACTGCCTTGCCTGGGACAGCTGCTTGTGCCTCCCCCCTCCCCCCTGAATCCACCTTAGCAAGGTGCAATTAKTGTCAGGTACAGTTAATTAGCTGGGCAGGACCCTCCTCTGCCCTCCACAGTGGCTTTTGGTGGGGCTTCCCCGACTGAGCTCCCTTTCACAGTGCAGTGCTAGGAAAAACAACTTTGCAGAGGCTTTTGAAGGATTTAGGAGGGTGCATTCTGCTTGTCTTTCTATTGTTTTGTGATTGAAATCCATCTCCTAGTCTCAGTGGATGCTGCAGCTTCTGTTCTCCTCCCTGCCTGCCTGAGCAGGAATTAGGCAGAGACAGCTCCACCTGGGCCCCTGGCTGGGTTTTTGTTTGCATYTGTGTTCTCTTTCCTGGTTAGAGCAGATAATTAAGAATCGGGGTCCTGTCTCAGGCAAGGGTGGGACTTGATCTGCAATGCAGGGAGGATGGAGATGGGCAGTTCCTTGGTCCCTGCACCAAAGTGCAGTCAGTGATGAGGGGACAGGCTGACACTCGTGACCTCCTTCGAACCAGCAACGCTGCCCAAAAAGCTGTGGGACCGCAGAGCTCAGCTGTTAAACACTTTATTTCTCCATCACTKTAGCCCTCCCTTCCCAGAGCAGACACTCTCCAGGAAATGCTGTGGGAGAGGGCTGGTGGCCTCCTTTCTCTGGAGGAAAGGATGCTGTGCCTGGGAGGGACAGCCCCTGCCGGGAGTGGGGACAGGAGGGACGCGCCCGGAGCGCCTCGGCACGAGCGGTCACTCAACCAATGCTACGGGAAGGAGGGGCCTGGGGACAGAGGGCCACCYCTGGTGCTGTGGTACAGGGCAGGGCAGCAGGCTCCTGCTTTAGAGAGCCGTGTCCTCRGACTCGATGCGGGGCCCAAAGAGCTTTTCAGCCGTTGCCTTGCCGTCGTACTTGGGCAGGTTGCCGCCAAAGTCTGCTGGCAGGATGTCGGCRTCGATCTCCTGGTAGAAGGATTCCAGCTCCTCCCCGTGCACGAAGACCTGCAGGGACATGGGAGTGACCCTCAGCAGAGGGCCAGGGCAGCTCTTCCCAATCKCTGCGTTTCAGCCAAGGACACGGCTGTGCCTGCAGGGCTCTTTCCCACTCACCCTCTCCAGCAGTTTGCTCTTCAGGAACGGTTTGACCACGTTGTAGGTGGTGGTGAAGTACCAAGGCTGGTGGATGAAGTGGACGGCCTTGAACCGTGCTGGGAAGGAGTCCTAGGATCCCAAAGACACAGATCAATGGACACTGTGGCACYGCTATGGCTCTCCTTGCCCCATCTCCCCTTCTCTATTTGAGAATAGAGAATATATCTCCCTTTCTGTTCTGACCCAGAGGATCAGCTATCCCAGCCCCAGGAGCACCAGGGAGCTGAAAAGCCTCCCAGAGAGCTCACTGTTCCCACTCCATGAGAAGGACCACATTTCTGGGAAGAGCTGAGTGTCTTTGGCCTCTGGTCTAAGGGCAGAAATCCTGGAGTGCCTGAGCATCCATCCAGCCTGAATTGGGCTGGGCTGAGAGGCTCATGAGAAAAGACCCCCAGGCCATGCAGTGAGTGGCAGTACTGCTTCTGGTCAGGCATTTGAGAAGGCAGGGAGATGGGGTGGGAAAAACAGGATTCATTTTGCAGGATTAAGCCAATTAGCTGGCAAGGCAGGGAGAGGGTGATGGGGAACAGCCTCTCTSTGATGCTTTCTCATTGTTCCAGTGTGGTGGCAATCCCAAACCCTGCCAGCCCTGCCTTCTCTGAGCTCCCTGCTTCCCCAAGGCCCCCTCTGCCACTGCTGGGCACAGATTTTGGCACCTCACCTGCAGCATGTCCACCATCTTCTTGAGCTCRGAGGGTTTGATCCCTGACGCCTGCTGCATGGTGAAGCCCTTGAAGTTCTCRATGATGCAGAACCCATTGATCTGGGTCTCCTCATTTTCCAGCAGCTTCTCCAAGATAATGCAATAGGCACGAAGGATCTAATGGAGAGGAGAGACAGCAGGGTCTTGTGTGAGGTGTCACGTCCCACAGACCCTACAGGGTACTCAGGAAGGGTCYCATGGAATGTTATCCATGATCTGCCTGACTCCAGCCTGCTTGTCAGAGCCAGCCCCCAGATTTCAGAGCAGGCAGGGGGGATGCTGAACCACCATCACTTTCCCTTCTCAAATCATGAGCATCAGATCTGGGTCAGTGATACGCTGAGACCAGACTCAGAGCTGAGCAGAGAAGGGAGCTGGGAGCAGCTGCGAGTTACACACTTGGAGACCTCTTTGCCAAGAAGCTCTTCCCATGCCCTGTGCCTCAGTTTCCTCCTCTGCCCTTGATTTAATGGTGTGGTRCCTTTCTCCAGGCCAGGGGATGCACACCCTGAATTTGGCCTGCACTTTGYACTGCATCCTTTGGGATGGACCATGCTCTCCCAGGCTCCCTCAAAGGATCAATTCAAAGGCTTGCAGAATGGCTTCCACYCGGATGGCTGGGCACATAAACATGCTCGGATGTGCCAAAAAGGACAAGCCCAGCAGCACAACCACTGTKGGAGCAGCATCTGAGCGGGGCTCACCTCATCGAAGGTGATCTCCTCGTAATCCCAGTTCTCGATGTTGAAGAGCATCACCACCCGTCCGTACTTGTCCCTGCTGGCCAGGATGCCGGGGTAGCCGGCCTCGATGGTGCTGCGCACGGCCTCGGGGCTCAGGTTGTCAAAGAGCTCGGGGTACTGCTGGCGGAAGTTCACGTAGCCTGCAGAGAGGCAGAAATCACGGGATGGGCTGGTGATGAGGTGTCAGTGCTGAGCCCCAGAGCTGTGGGAAGCTCTGCCTGTGGCCCACGTGGGTCAGGGCTCCAAAAAAGCTCAGCAGCAGAGCAGCCCCAGCATGCCCGAGTTATCCCTCCCCTTGCCAGGAGCCTCCTGCACCTGCTTTCTCTCCAACACCTCAACAAGTAGATAAAGTAATTTTCCCCCTCGTTTCCCTTCTCCCCTTCCTCCCTCTTTGGGTGACAACCCCCATCTCCCCTCTCTTGGCACCCTGCAGGCACAAAATAAGGAATTCCATCCTGGGAAAATGCAGGCAAACAAAACAGCTCGTCTGGGAGCCAGCACTGATAATTACAACTCATTATCCCCTAAGCTGACACAAAGAAGAGCAGAGCTGGAGCCAGGCAGGTTCCAGACAGCAGCCACCCTCAGGGCTGCCTTTCTGCTYGCCCTCCATCCCCATGGGTCACTCTCAGTGTGGGACAGGTGCCACAAGCCACACACTTTTAGGTGTCCCCTAAAAGTGCCCCAGGGGTGTGGAGCCCCACCAGGCACCGTGCACAGAAGCTCCAGAAGGTGCAGAACTGGCTCCTGACAGGGGTGCAGAGTGGGGACTGTGGGGCATGCATGGYGCTTGGGGGGCTCAAAGGGTGCAGCCCAAGCCAGCTGGGTTTGCTGCACAAAAAAAAAAACAACCTGCCACCACCAAATGTGAGGGGGTTTTACCATTTGTTGGGTAAATTTGCAAGGAATGGGGTGGTCCTGCAGGATGCCTGGTGTCACCCTCATTYATTTCCTTCCCCATCCCCAATGTTTCCAAGCCCCTCAACCCTGACTTTTTCTATTCATCCCCTCTCTTCATCCCCTTCCCATGTCAGCACAGCCCAGTTTGGGGCTGTGGCACACAGGAGCTGGTGGGGGATGTGTCTCCGTCCTCACCCAGCATCACAGCCCAGCCCAGGAGCCCTCCCCACCTTTCAGCAGGTCATAGGCCCTGTGGACATCGAACTTGCGGGCACGGATGAAGCGGAGCAAGAAGGAGTCGTCCTTCTCCTGCACCTTCTCAGCCACCTTCTGGCACACGTCCTCGCCGCCCGCCCGCTCCCGCACCAGCTCCCGCAGCGCCTTCACCGCCACCTCCCTCTGCTCCTCCGTCTCGTTCAGCTCATCCTTTGCCTGGGCGGAGCACAGAGGGCACCCAGTGATGCCACACATGCTTTCTGAAACACCCCGGGGGTCATTTGGGCACCCCAAAACTGGGGGAGGACAGGAAAGCTCCTTGCAGCATCGCAGCACAAGGAGGGCAGGGCCACTCAAGTCCCCAGCTCGGGGATATTTTGGTAATGCAAGGGGCCAGCTGAGGGGCTCCTCTGTCCCTGAGAAGGCACAGGAGCCTCAGGCTGCCCCTGCCCCCCATTCCCCACAGCCGCCTCACCTTCTGCAGGGTGTGTGGGGGGATCTTCTCGCACCTCCCGAAGACGGGGCCGTGGTCCTTGGTGGTGAGGCGCTCCAGCTTGCTGCGCAGAGCCTGCTCCTCCTCCGAGACGATCCGGAACGTGCCCGTCTGGGGGGCAGGAGAGCATGTGGGGGCTCCCCAGACAGCCCTCCAGCTCCCTGCCCCACCAGCAGTCTCCTTGGGAGCTATGGGGAAGGGGAGAGGCTCCCCACGTGCAGCCAAGGGGGGCAGTGGGATAGGGATGGACTGTATGCTGCTTGGATTAAGGTGCACCCTGTGCAGCCCATCCCAGCAGCACAAGGAGGGGATGCTCTGAACCCAGGGGATGGGGACAGTACTCACAACAGCAGACATGGTGTCCTCTATCCCCGTCGGCAGCAGGACTCTGGCAGAGGGAAGGAGGAATCAGCACAGATCCAAATGGTTTCTGTGGCTCTTCCMTGCCCCATTCCCTGCCCATCTCGCTCAGAAGTTGGTGTCCAGAGGGCACCCCCAACCCTCCTCAGCTCCGTCACCTACTGCCTGCATCTCTGCCTGCCCTTGGAGGCTCAGCAGCCTGGAGAATCACCAGGGATGTTTGCAAACGCAGCTTAAAAATCCGTGCATTAATCATCTGATACCTTCCTGTGCTTTTCTCACTCTACCTTTCCTCTTTGTGCTRGGGGCACCTCAGCCTGAGCCCACCCAGCACTATTCTGTCTCAGACCAGAAGGGCAGAGGCGAGCACCCAACTTTGSCCAGGCAGCCAACTCATCCTTTTATTTCTACTATCAAAATAACTAATATTCCCAAAAGAAATAATTATCCACAAAGTATTTCCCAAACTCTCCAGTCTCGCTGCTTCGCCAGCTGCAGGGCTGGACTATAAACCTTCTCAGCATCCTTCAAAGGCAGTCTGGGTGAAACACCTCATTCCCATGAGGAGGAGGAGGGTTGTCTTCATCCTACCTCCAGCATCTACCCCTGCCTGGCTGTAGCACCATTGTGAGCCCAGGCTGYGTGAGGGACGCTTGGCTCCAGCTCAACCATTTCCCAGGGCCATCCTCTTGCCCTCCACCTCCCGAGGAAGGAGCAGGCATCCCTTTTTTCCAACCAATTCAAGCCCTGGAGGTGCCAGGTTAAGCGATGGCTGGATGATGTTCTTCAGTGCAGTTCTTCCAGGTGGATCAAAGTCCTGGCTACTCACCAGGAAGAGGAAAAGCAGCACAGTCGTCAGGTCAGCGCAGGGAGCCGAGATGGATGCAGGGATGGCGAGGCCGGAGTGGAGCAGCGAGSAAGCCGGGCGAAAGCTTTGTAGAGTCACCGGGTTGGGATTAGACCGTCACAAGGCATCAACTCACTGCAGCTTTGTAATTAAGTCAGCACAGCCCGGGCAAGAAACCCCATTAAAACATTACAAAAGGCAGCTGAGGAGAGGGAAGGAGGGAATTGGGGCTCCAGCGCCAGCCGGAGCGTGCGTGGAGAGGCGGGCTGGATGCCGGACCCGATTAACAAAGTATAAAAGCTCCTTGTTGTGTAACTCGCTCATTAGCACGGGGCAGGGGCAGAGGCAGGGGTGGGCAGCCTTCCATCCCGGCCTGCTCCTCGGGGTGAGCACAACAGGTCTCTTCCCCAGCTTCTGCCCCAAAAACCCTGGCAAGGTCCTGCTGTGAATTTGGCCGTGTGGGCAGGGTCCGGCTGCGGGCCGGGATCATTCTGGRGTTCTCCAACTCCTCCCCAAGGAGGCCACCCAAAGCAGCATCCACACGAGGCCCCCTTCAGCTTTTAAAACTTAAAAAAAAATAAGTGGGCAAAATTTCTACAATGCCCTCAAATGATGAGTACCCGCTCGGAGCTCTGGGAACTGGAACCCATTGCACCCCCAGAGTGACGCCACAGACCTGGGAGGGAGGGGAGCCCCGGAATGTGGCAGAAACCAAGCTGAGTCCACATGTGAGTGCAGTGGGATGGCAAAATGAGCTGTGCTGGGATGCCCCAGCGTGCTGAAGCTGCACAGGGCAGGGGAGCCCTTGAAGCCTTAATTCTTTGAGTCCAGGCTTGTGGGAGCTGGGTGAGGATGTGGTCAGGATGGAGCTGTGCTCAAGCCCAGGAGAGGAGCTCGGCCAGGTTCTCACCATGATGGGGATTTTGGGGARGTGGCAGGGCTGGGCTAAGCACCAGAACAGAGCTGAAGGGGCTTACACAAGGCATGTTTTGTAATGCCTCTGGGATTTACGGATTTGGTTTCCACACGGGGCTGTCCTGCAAGCAGAGCTGAGACCCCGATGTGAGGGAGGAAGGAGGAGGAAGGCACGAGACTCCAGATGAAAGGCAGAGGTGCTGCTGAGGGAGAATTCCAACTCTTGACAAAACCCTGAGCAGCACTGCTGTGGCCAGAGGCACTGTGCACTGCCCTTCAGAGACCCCCAACCCTTGTGGATTGTCCCCATTCCACACCAGCGCTGGTGCAAGGCTCAGCTCCCTCCCACAGCTCAGTGAACCTTTGTCTGCAGCTCAGCRCAAGACAGTGCATAACAGGGGGACATCATCAGTGTGGGGTTTCCCAAATAGACCCAGTAATGCTCTATTGGGATGGCAGAGAGAACCTGTGATCCTTGGGCATCCTGGTTATCACAGATGAAATAGTTTTGCAGACACATGCACAGCCCCTGGCRTCCCTTTGTCCTGGGTAAAGGGGTCTCAAGGAAAGAGGTGGCAGCCCCAAGGCAGCCCCGTGATTGTGACAGAGCCCTAAGGGGATCCTTCTCCCATATCTGGTTCTCCCACTCCCCACAGCTCCCGGTCAAACCCGCTCTCCTCCCYCAGCAGCATCAGCTCCCGCTCCACGTGAGCACGGGGCTTGCGAAAGCTCCCACGCTGCGCTGGCACCGGATCCYTTGGCCAAATCCCGCTGCTTAAAGGCGGGCTACACCTCCTGGTACGCTCAGGGCCACCCCTCGCGTCCCCCGGCATTAAGGGGTTTTACTCGAATGTATCCGAACCGCACGTGGGCGGCACTCGCTGCTGATGCGGGGTGGCCCTGAATGGGCACTTTGTGCCAAACTTTGTGCCACTTTGTGCCGCGGTACCCCCGGCTGCCCATCCCACGTGCCTGCACCCCACGTGTCTGCACCCCWCTGCATTCCCCGTGCTCTGACTGGAGCTGCCCAGAGAGGCTGCGGAGTTTCCCTCACTGGAGATACTCCAGAATCATCCGGTGGCAACCCTGTGCTCTCGAACGACCCTTYTTGAGCACGGAGTGTGACCCACTGCGGTCCGCTCCAGCCTGACCCGCTCCGTGATTCTGTGATTCGGTGACACTGCGCCCCTTGCAAAACAAACAMGAAGTAGTAAAAATACTGCTCAATGAAATTATCCCCAAGTTTAGAGTACCCAGAGAAATTTCCTCTGATAGGGGAATGCATTTCTGTACACAAATTATACAAGCAATCAGAGCGAAGTGTTAAAAATTCRGTGGCAACTTCACACTTCCTACAGACCACAGGCTAATAGTCAGGTAGAAAGAATAAAGCAAGGAGTCAGGTAGAAAGAATAAATCAAGGAGCAAATAAGAGAAATTTGGCCAAGAAACCAATTTGTACTAGTATCTATCGCTCTTGTACGACTCAGAATAAAACCCGGATCAAAAAAAGAAAATCAGCCCATTTAAAATTCTTTATAATACGCCTGCTACGCGCGGGACTGGAACACGCGGGATTGGAACGCGCGGGATTCGAACACGCGGGACTGGAACACGCGGGATTTGAACGCGCGGGATTGGAACGCGCGGGATTGGAGCGCGCGGGATTGGAACGCGCGGGATTGGAACACGCGGGACTCGAACGCGCGGGATTGGAACGCGCGGGATTGGAACACGCGGGATTGGAGCGCGCGGGACTGGAACGCGCGGGATTGGAACGCGCGGGATTGGAACACGCGGGATTGGAACGCGCGGGATTGGAACACGCGGGACTCGAACGCGCGGGATTGGAACGCGCGGGATTGGAACGCGCGGGATTGGAACGCGCGGGACTCGAACGCGGGGGAGTCGAACGCGCGGGATTGGAAAGCGCGGGATTCGAACACTCGGGACTGGAACGAGCGGGACTCGAACGCGCGGGACTCGAACGCGCGGGACTCGAATGCGCGGGACTGAAACGCGGGGCGGGGCGGGGCGTGGCGGGAAGCGCGCGCCGGGGGCGGGAGCTGTTTCCCGGGTGATGCGCGGGCGCTTCCGGGCGGGAATTTCGCGGGGACGGAGCTGCGGCCCGGCGGTGCCGGGAGCCCCGCGGCCCCATGGCGCAGCAAATCCTGGCTCTGGCGGCCGAGGAGGGCTCCGAGCGGCTGCAGGAGGCTCTGCAGGGCCTGGCGGAGGGCGAGGTGCGCGGGGCCGGGCGSGGAGCGGGGATGCACCGGCCAGGCTACTCCGCGGGTTTGGGAGCGCTCACAGCGTCCCCTTCTCTTGCAGCTGGGCGACATGGTGACCAGACAGGCTCTGAAAGGGAGGGAGACGGCGGCTTTGCTCAGAGGGATCTTCAAAGGTGGGTGATGSGGCTCCAGCCCTGCCGGCTGCCGCTGGGTGCAGCCCGTGTTCAGCAGCGCAGGGAAGTGTCGCTTTTGGTAAAAAATCCGCTCGTCAGGGCTGTCACAGGGAAACCACAACATCCAAAAACACATGCGGGGARATAGCAAACTGGACTAGAGTTGGCGATGAGCCCGTGGTAAGCGGAACTTACTTTTGAGAATGCTTAGGTACCTTGGGGTAGGACTGAGCTGGCCACGAGAACTAATTGCCAAGCTGGTTCTCAAAATTTTGACAGTTCCCGATCCCTGGCAGCAGGTTGAGCTAACCACGGGGTGTGATTAAAGGGTGGCCAGCTGCTTTAGCCGAGTATCTGATTTCCTGTGCTCTGTGGTTTTTTATTTGTTTCGTCAAATAAATAAAACAGGAAGTTGCAGCCAATTGACAGTTCATCCTTGCCGTYTTCCTGTAGTTTAGCAACTTGCATGACTTTTTTTCCCATTGTTTTGTCCCTSTCTTTGCTGCAAGGCTCCCCCTGTTCCCAGAGAAGTGGTGTTCTCAGGAGGCTCCAGGTTTACAAGCACTGCATCCCCCTGGTGGAGTCAGGGGACCTGCATTTGGCCAAGGTGTCTGAAATCATAGGGCTGCTGATGCTGGAGGTAAAGCTCCCTTGGGCTGGCTTTGCTGGGCTCTGCTGGGTGTAATTTAATGTGTAAACTGAGATATTTCACTAAGCCACTGAGGGAAATGGGTTGTGTCCTTTCCATGGATCTTCCCTGGACTAAGGGAGCTGGTGGTGGAATTGGCTTTGTGTGTGAATTTGATTATCTTTAGATATTTAATCTTAGGCTCA